TGTAGAATATTCCTATCAAATTCCACCTTCACAACAACATGGAGAACTTTCCTGCTGGCTGAGGAGGTTTGGTGCAGTCATATTAATGCAAACCTGGTTTGGCTCTATTTTTTTTCTATTTTTTTTTCCCACCAGCAGTTCAGGAAGGTCAGCTGAGGTGTGCACAGAGTCCTCCTGAATCCTGGCATTTGGGATGATGGGAATACACAGCCACTAGTGTGTGTTTTATTGGATCAACTGGCATTGCTGGAAATATCAGGCAAACTTTCAGGTATGCAAGCCCTTATTCAGGTCTGAAATAGAAGCAGCAATTTTCAGAGCTAAATACAAGCTGAGAACAAACGCTCAGATGTTAATTAGGTATGTATCAATTAGGCCTTTGTTTAAAGGAAATGTATTTGGGAGCTGTGGAGAAGAAAGGATGGGGGAGAGGGCGGAAAATGAGAGACAGAGAAAGTTAAAGTAAAATGAAGCTGCTTGTCACCTGGGGGGAGGAAGAGGCAGGTAGTTTATAGCCTGGGGAACAAGAGTCAATCGTGGTGAGTGGGAGGAGAGTAATCATAAAAGTCACATCTACCGAGTGCATGCTCCTCCAGATCAAGTGGCTTTATGAATTTCAATGCTCAGCCTCATCTTTAGGAGGGGTTTTGGAGGCTGTTGGGAAGAAAAGTACTGAGGTACCAAAGGTGTTTGGGGAGCTGTGCTCTCCCCTTGGCAGCTGAGGTGGGCTGGGTTTTGTTATAACTTTAAAATATGAGCCCACTTTGGTCTACCCTGATTGCTTAATTTTGCTTACACAGTTACCATGAGGCCACTGGATTAATTTTATGGTGTTGATGGGATTTAGAGAAACTCAGAGAGAGGGAGAGTTGGGGGTGGGCCTCATTTCCCCACTTTGAATGGGGAAGATCTGCTTGGGTGGAGAGTGAGGGATGAAAAAAATGAGATATCTCTGACGCTTTAAGGAGACTTCACCCTAGACACATTCCAATTTTCCATGAGTTTCTGCTGGGGAATTTGGTATGAAACTGTGCTTTTCCTGCCTCATGTAAGTTCGATCCTTTTGAGGAAAGGGATGGTGAGCCCTGAAACCAAAGAGCTATTCTCATCTATGTCACTGGGAGGCCCAAATCCTCAAAAATGTTGCATTTTAGGTTAGCAGCACCATATAGCATACATTCTACCAAATAAATATTGAAAACAGAGGCTCTGTTCAATCAGATCAGTAAGAAACCAAATGTTCAGTCAATATTGTGAGTACTCTTCAGTAGGAGTTCATCTGTTGATTCCACTCAGCCCACACAAACCTGAGGTGCATTCTGTTGAAACAAGAAACCTCCCTGTGAAGCCAAGTGTTATTTTTAAGTGGCTTTGTATTAAAGGTAGCCTGGATTTTCTGTGAAATACTAAATTGGTGAGACAAGTTTAGGAAACCTTACTGTGGCATGAAATACTGTTTATCTTCAATGCATTTGTTCCCCAAGTATACAAGCACAGAATTCAAATTAGAAGATTTTGTAAGGAAACATGGAAGGGTTTTATATTATCAAACTGTGCACAGTCTGTGAGCTGTAAAAAGCTGGATACTTGTAGATTACTAAAATGTCCCTCAAGTCATAATTATAAATCAATATGCATGCATACAAAAGATTGGTGTCTCCATAAAGTGCCTGAAATTCAATATTTTTAGTCTACTGTGCCTTCTGAAAGTGCCTGTATATTTTATATTCCCTGTGAGCTGAAAATTGTCTCTGTATTTTATGTATTGTTATTTGTGGAGCTCTATTTGCAAACATAAGTAACAGCTAGTACTGGAGATGATATACAGGCTGTACAACATGCCCAAACAAACAAATCTGGAAGGAAATAAATGCCCCCATCCATAAATCCCAAGGACACGATGAGATTTTTTTTCAACCTCGTGCCAGCGCTGTTAGGAGTGTTCCAGAGCTGTGTGGGATGCATTCTTTGAGCTGGCAGGGAGGGAACAGAGCTCCAGACTCTGGTTACTGTGCACGTTTCCGTGGCTGTGCTACCTGTTTGTGCAGAAAGCTTTGTTTGCTGGAGTGGGTGAGAGGTGCAGCCAGGGGGTGTTCATTCCTCCTGCTGCTCTGGGATGTTCAGGAGCATTTTCCTGCTGGTTCTTGAGGAGAGTGTGGCACCTTGGAGCACTTTTCCAGCTGCCAGCAGGATGAGCAGCTGGAGGGTGACCTGGCTGGGCTGTCCCTGATGTCTGACTGGGGCTGGCAGCAGGAAAAGGGCTCCCACGTGGCTCCCAGGTTTGGAGCCTCACTAGGAATCCTAAAATGGTTTGGATTGAAAGGGATCTTAAAGATCATCCAGTGCCACCCCCTGCCATGGGCAGGGATACCTTCCACTATCCCAGGTTGCTCCAAGCCCCATCCAGCCTGGCCTGGGAAACTTCCAGGGATCCAGGGACAGCCACAGCTTCTCTGGGAAACCAGTTCCAAGTGACTCCCCACCCTCCCAGGGAAGAATTCCTTCCCAATATCCCATCCAGCCCTGCTCTGTCAGTTTGAAGCCATTCCCTGTGTCCTGTCACTCCAGTTCCTGATGAAAGAGCTCTTCCCAGACTCCTTGGAGCCCCTCTTCAGGTACTGGGAGGTTGCTATGAAGTCTCCAACTGATGCCTCAGGTTTGAGCTTTTCTATTTTTCACATTCTGTGCTGCTTTAGTGTGTGGGTCTGGGCTTCACATTATGGGATGCTGAGCTCTGTGCACAGAGCAGAGACAAAACAATTCCTGCTCCAGCTGGGCACCAAGGACAAATGATCCAAACCTCAGCCCAGGAGCACAAACAGCGTGGGCTGGAGAGAGAAAAACAAGCAGGGTGGGACTGCCTGGGCTGGAGCTGGAATGGGACAATGAACTCCAAGGTGCCAATGGAGCAGAACTGATAAAAGTTAGAGATCCTGGTCATCCATTTTTGTGTTTTCTGAGCTCAGTTTTGGGTTGTGCTGCCCAAGGTAGATCCATGGAGGCCTCTTAATAAATCCCTACTTTATTCTTTAACTCTGTCCAGCCTATGCTCCAGGGCAGCCTTCAGAAGGCATCAGAACCTTCTCTTCTCAGACTGTTCACTCATCAGGAGTGCCAGGGAGCCCTTTGGCTCAGCCACAGCCTGCAAACCAATTTTGGGAGCACTGCTGGTGTCCTCTGGAAGCACAGCCTGGGAATCTCAGTAGGGGCTCCCCAGCACAGAAATCTCCTTGCTGCTGACACAGTCTGTGTCCTCTGGCCCATGGCATCAACACAGAAATGTGTTTAATTAATGTGGAAGGATTCAGATTAAGTGTAAAAAATTGTTTACTTCAGTTCTCGGTTGGCTGCTTTGCTGTGACACCAAATAATATTAAAGATAAGCTTGAAAATAAGGTCCTGGAGGTAAACAAAGGAGTAGAACTTGAACCCTTTGCAAAATATATCCCAATGAATCAACACTTTCTACTGGGAAACCACTGTCTTCATAGGGTTTAGAGATTATTTCACTTTTCTGACAGCCAGGAGGGTTTGTTAACAATGTACAGAAAAGAAAGCCAAAGCTCCATGGTTTTTACCCACTCAGGTCACAGGCTGGTGTTACACTGGACCTCCCTCTCTGATGCAATGGACATTCCTCTAATAAAGTGGATTTTTGGTTGTGTTTAGGTACTGTTTGGTTGCATGCAGCTACAGTGGTAACAAGCAGATGTCAGCAATAGGGATCCTGGTATCAGAATAAGGGAGATGTTTCTCAACACGAGTGGTTAATTCAAAATAAGGATATTTTCGAGCACAATTTCAATATGCCACAATGTAAATTGCTTATATTTTAGTCTGTGTAACATTGCAAAATTAATTTTAAAGCTCCTCCTTAGGCAAACAAGATAGAAAGGCAGTAGATGGTCAGAATTTGAAACAGCTTTGTGTACATGGTAGACCCTGCACTTGTTCTGACAGACTGGCTGAAAATGCCACCAGCAGCACAAAATCTGTCTGAGTTAAGGAGATACCAAATGTTAAATGTACAAAACAACTTGTCCTTCCTGAGTTCAGGTTGCAAATTTCTCAATTTTGTTGCACAAAGTGTCACTGGAAGGGATTTGAAGCAAGGGCTTCTTTCAAGAGCATGCACGTCGGTTCGTACCAAAGATTAATGTGAGGCACACTGAATAATTCAGAATTTTTTGAGTGGGAAGAAAGAAGAGTACACTGAAAATATCTTGTTTTTCTGGAAGAAGTTTGCCTTCTTGTAAAAGAAAAAAAAAATAAAATAATAAGCATGAACTTTTTTATTACACAATAGAAAATTTCAGACCAAACATTTCATCAGTTTTAGATATGGTCCATGTGCTGGATCTGCTCTGCTGAGAAGTTGCTTTGGTAAAGTGCATTTCCCATGGTCATTATCAACTCTTTCCCTGAGGAAAAAACACTGTTCAAACTGAATTCCAGACACCACCATTGCTGTGACACAACTCAGCCCATAAGTAGAACAGAGACATAAAACACTCAAGCATCAACTCTTCAAAGTCAAGAGTTTCAAATCTACATTTTTCAGCTTAAGAGATTTGAATTTCAATTTTTTTAAAAAAGGGATTTTTTTTTTTTGGCACATGGGTGATTGGATTTTTTTTGAAATGGAATTTTAAGGCAAATACTTCTTAGAAAATAATGTATTGAAATGGAGAAATGTCATTTCTGATCCAAAGATAGTTTTGTTAGAAATTTTGAAGCAGCCCCCATGAAAACTTCCTTTGATTTTATTACAGAATAAGGATGGAAAAATGTTGATCTGAAAGTTCAAGATGATCAGCTGTACATAAAATATGTTTGAAAGCATAGATATTGTATTAACCATTATCATTATTAACCAGTTTTTCTGAAATAATAAATATCTTGCATTTCCAGTCCTTGATCTTGCTGTAACATAGCATTCCTGTCTGACAGTTTTGCTGATTTCCTTGAGACCCAAAACATGGATTCTTTTTCCACAGCCCCATCAAACTCATTGTCTTGGCAATTAGGGCAGACTATTAATTTCATTTATGTCCATTATTTTGCTGTGATATCATTACAAAGGTTGCAATTTTATTTCATTGCATGAGGAGAAAAAAAAAAAAAAACAAACAAACTTATAAGTTAAACTGAGAGAACTGGTTTTAACTTTTCTCCATTGCATGAAGGCATCCAAACATGTGAAAAAGCAACTTCTTGGAGAAGTCCATCCTACACGAGTGTCACATTCCTGATTTTCTTTGGGTTGACCAGATAATCAGTACGTCTCTGAGGCCGCACCTAGGGGAGAGCAAAACCAGTTAGAGAGCTACAAGCAATTCCAGAAAAGCAGTCCTACAAGGGGTCTCAGGAGGTTACCTGCCAACCCCTCACCCCAGAGCACGACAGCAAAATGAAATCTGTCACCAGCAGCCCACTCAAAATCCAAACACGAGGGAAAGCAGAACAAAACAAAAGCTTTGCATGGAACATGCTGAGAATTCATTATCTGATCTTCTGCTGCCTGGGAACTTCTTGTGGCCTCTGCAGTCTGTGTGCTCTGAAGCAAAAAGTGATGTTGGGTCTTTCTCCTCTGGTTCTCTTAAAGCTGTAAAAAATCTGAATATTTGCCTTCCAAATCCATTAGAAATCACAGCACACCAGCATTTCACGTGGCTGGAAGATCACTCTCAGCACTCAGTGTTTATCCAAGCCAACATTTTTTTAAACTTCCCGAGACTGCCAGGATTCCACTAGCACTGGCTGCAGCCTGCTCTCACAGGTGGGATCAGAGCAGGGCAAATGCTCAGCAGCCTTGGAAAGCCTTTCCCCATCTGAAACAAGTGCAATTCTCCAATCCTAATTACTTCTGTGCTTTTACAAAATATCATTAGAGAGGAAAAGACAAGGAAAAAATTGCTCTCAAATGCATCTGACTAACAAAAACTGTGGGTTTTTAAATGCAGTGGCAACACCTCCTCCTGCAATTCCTCACCTGGTCTCAAGCCCTTGGAAATTAAAGGAAATTTCACTGTTTGTCTCAGTGAAATGTTTCATCAAGGCAAACACAGTTCTCTAACTATTGACCAATTTTCCTGAGGTTTGTTTCTGGAGCATTAATCATGTACAGTCTGGATTGCTCTGGTATTCTTCCAGTACTTAACATCTTCAATTATGCATTTGGTACATATACATTATTGAATAACACATGGAGGCAAATGTTAGATAACAAATGTGGACAACATGGCTCTGGTATTTAATGAGCCCCAGCACCACTGTGGGATAAATTTAACTATCCTGGAAGCATTTCACAAGACAGCTGACTTCTGTTTTAAACACAACTCTCTTTCTCTACCCTCCCATCCCTTCTTGTTGCTAGAACATGCTGCTGTTTTCTAAATTTACCCTTCTTTACTGTTTATTTTTGCAGAGAGGAGAGGTACTTTGGGAAGTAACAGCACTGCCTGGCTCTGTTCAAGGACCTTTTCCAAGATCCCTCTGCTGCACTTAATTTCTTGCCCAAAGAACTCAGTGGTGTTAAGCAGAGGAGCTCTCTACTACCTCTCCCATCAAAATAATGAATTTTCAAATAGAATGGGAAAGAAAATCTGAAAAAATGCCAAAGGCAAGTTTTATGTTTGTGGAAAGGAAATATTCCCATATATTGTGGTCTGTGAGAATAAAGGATACTGAACCAGTAGAAAACTGAGTAACCAGAAATTTTCAGACGGGCTCAAGAACACCCTGTCTCTAAAACTCCCTGAAACAGGTCATGTTTTGTATCCCATGCTTAGCAAAATACTGAGGTGAGAATATTTCCCAGAAGTGCTGCATAAAAATATTCTATTGCACCAGATTTGCTAAAGGAAAAAAAAAGACATAAATCAGAAAGTTCACCCAGCAGTGTTGTGGAAAGAGGAAGTTTTGGGGCGATTGGGGAGCAATGCTAGAGGAGATTTGGGGGGGACATTGTGTCCCTGTCTCACAGGTGAGAGCCCTGGGACCTGCAGAGCTGCCCCAGCCCTGTCCCAGCCCAGGAGGAGCTGGAGCTGCTGCAGAGAGCCCAGAGGAGGCTCCAGGATGAGCAGAGGGATGGAGCAGCTCTGCTGGCAGGAAAGGCTGGCACAGCTGGGATTGTTCACCTGCACAGGAGAAGCTTTGGGCTGAGCTCAGGGTGGCCTGGCAGGGCCTGGAGGAGCCCCAGGAAAGCTGGAGAGAGACAATTTCCAGGGATGGAGGGACAGCACACAGGGAATGGCTTCAAAGTGAAAAATTCCAAGTTTAGATCAGATATTAAGAAAACTTTTCTCCCCTTGAGGGTGGGGAGGCCCTGAAATAGAATTCCCAGAGCAGCTGGGGCTGCCCCTGGATCCCTGGCAGTGCCCAAGACCAGGTTGGACACTGGGCTGGAGCAGCCTGGGACAGTGGAAGGTATGTCCCTGCCATGGCAGGGGTTGGAATTGGATGATTTTTTCAATCCTTTCCAACCCAAACCAGTCTGAGATTCTCTGATCTAGGTTTTTATATGATCCTGAAACAGCAGGGAGCCAGAGGACGAGCAGCAGCTGGATCCAGGCAGCCCCATGAGAGCACTGGGGAAAGGATAATCCCACCAGGGCTTTTTTTCCTTAAAAATCCCATCTTCAGGAAGGACCAATCCTGCCCCTGTCTGTCATGGCACTTCTCCTCACCACCAAAGCAGGAACTGAGCAGAGTTTGCTCCCAGGGTGGGGCTGACGTCCATGAGGGTTCACCCTTGTCCTGCAGCATCTTTCAGAGATATTTGCTTTAAAGTTACTTCTACTTCATCCTTATTGTGCTCCAGTATCAATTAATGAATAATTTCATTAATTTCAATGAGGTCATGCTGTGTGCTGGGCCATTTTCTGGGCAGCTTTTTCTGAAGCAGCAGAGCCTTCCTGAGGTTGCACTTCACTGAAAAGGCTGCTGGCTGCTGGTCACTGACCTAAAACTCATTTGCTGAATGCAATGGAAGATCTCATACAACACATTAAAAATAATAATGCAGAGGAGGAGGACCACAACAACCACTTCATATTTACACCCTGACCTGCTGGATCCCCTGCTTGGTTTTGATTTCAAAGTTGTTTCCTCTTTAGATTAATTCAGTGCTCTACTAGTCCTGCCAGTCCTAGTCTGAGGAAAAATGGCTTCATAACTCATTACACCCTACAGATTGAAGGGGGAAAAAACCCATCTCCAGTGGTTTGTTGCGCAGCACAACATCATAGGAGTGAGTTCCTGAGGTGGTTCCCCCATCAGGAAGGATGTGCTAACATCAGCATTTCTTTTACATAGTTTTAAATCTCTTTGTACTACCAGTTTGGCATCCAGTTAACCATGGATATCTGACAGTCACATGCTTCAAAGCCTCCCTGTTGATTTATCATCTGCCTTGAGTGCCTTTTCACAGGGATTACTGTAAAAGGATTATAATACTGGGAAAAGCTTCACATAGTTTGTTGGTTTGGTTGGGGAAACAGATGCAGCACAGATCTTTTCATCTCTTCCAGCTCTTCAGCCAGACAAAAAGGGAGCTAGCAACATATGGGTGACTCAGAAGGTAAACTGAGTGTGTATCATCTGGTTTCATGGTTGAATCCTTCCATGGTGTTTTGAATACTGATCTTCAGTCAATGAAAGAAGGATTTCTGTTCTTACAAGCATGTTTCAGTCAGTTCTGCACCCTGTGTGACAGCAGTGATGTGAATGATGGGTCCTGTGAAACTCTGATCTCAGCACTGAGCTGAAGGATGGCAGCTCCTCCAACACTGATAAACTGAAGGCTTGCTATTAGCCAGCCAAAAAAAATATTCAAGTCCAACTGCATTAGAACAAAGTGCTGGCATTCATGTGGTAGGAGTGCTCCCAAATGTGACTTAATGCATCACACACTGGGCTAGCAAAAACAGAACAAAAAATAAGGGGGGTAAAGCCACAGCTCTCTGGTTCTGAAGGTTATTTCTCATCCTGCCCTTAGTTTTCAATTTTGATTCTAAATTCACTTCTTTTACAGGGAAACACTCATCCCCATAAATTGTGGATACCCATAAAGTAATTCAGATGCATCATTACTTCACATAGCAAACCAGTTCCATCCTGTCAACTTTTTGGACACTCAGCACATTTCCCTGACATTCAATACAGCCTGGAAATTCCCCCTTGTTTCTTCATGGGTTAATCCCACCCATATGCCTTAACTCCTCCCCTTCTCCAACAGACATTTGGCAGAAAAAAATCTGTAAACTGCACCTGCCATTTCTTTATCTGTATCATCAATATTTATTGCTCTCTTAATCAAGATATGCTAACCAATAGATATCATAACATGACATATCTGCAGTCCATTTCATCTGCAGGGGTAAAGTTGTTTGCTTTCATTGATTTATTTTTCTATTTATTGACCTTTTAATTCAATTTTGATAGCTTAATTTTTCTTTCCAACAACCCTCAGAGTCAGAGAAGTTCTATATGGGGCAATAAATGGAGCTGCAATTCATCATTCATTTCCTTCTCAGTCTAAAACCACAAGCACAGCTAAATAATATTTTCAGTTTATAGAGTGTCACTTGGAGTAGTTAAGAAGAAAAATAGATCCTTCCCCATTAAGGGAGCCATGACTCACTCTGGACTGGGGAGGAGGAGTGAGGCTGTGGAAGCTTCCTGGAGCTGTGCTGAAGTCGCAGCAGGGATGAGTGCAGCAAATTGGAAATGAGCATTCACACCCTCATGGAATGGGCTCCTGATTTACCACAGAGACCTTTGTGGCAAATTAAATCAGCTAATTAGGAAGCTCCTCTAGGAGATTGTCCAATCCTCAGAGCTCCTTCTGTGGGAACTTGGAAAGCAGAGTTCCTTGGAGGTGGCACTGCCCCAAAATCTGCAAAATCCCAGGCAGGGAATCCCCCTCACTGTTCTTGGGTTTTGGAAGGAGCACTGTGGGTCAGGGAATGAGGAACTGTTCCCTGTGGGTCTCAGATTCAGTCTAAGAGAGAAACGGAGAGTTTCTATCCAGGCAGAAGCTTGAGAAAGAGGTGGAGAAGAATGTAAATAATTCTCTCTATCTCTCTTGTTTTTCACATTGTTTATAGTTAAGTTCTATCACTGTGCATCAAGCACTTTGCACCAGTGGGGTGAGTTGTTTTCACTTCAGAACCAATGGAGTTGGTCCTCATGAAGCTCTGTATAAAAGAGCAGGGTATTTTGAATAAACCAGAGTTTTACTCTCAGCAGCTTCTGATCAGTCTCTTCATTCCCATCCTGCCTTGACAGCAACAGTTCCCTGAGTGGAATTTTGGCCTCTAAAACCCATTTTTTTTTGGCAGCTCAGCCCCAATACTGGGAGAAAGGATCACACTCGCCCATCCCTGACAGGAGCTACATTTGCAATTAAACAGCAGCCTGCACTTCTGCTCTCAGTTTGACCTTTTCTCAATTAATATCATCACAATGAAGACCTTCCAGCACCTCTGACTGATGCTTCTGGCCTCCTCTTCCAGTGGCTGCTCATTTTTCCCTCAGCTCAATAATTTGTTCTGTTACTCATCATTTTTTAAACATCTCACACACCTTTGATTTTCCTCCCTTGTTCTTTGCCAAACCTTTTGTTCCGGTTGTGAATTGATCAGTGCAATTACTGGGCAGCATTTATCTTCTGTGGACGTTTTGCATTAGTTTCTGATTCAAAGAGTTTGAATGGCCAAAAGCTGAGCTCGGTGTTTTTCTGTTGTCATCTTTTATTACACACACCAAGGACTTCAGGTTTGTACCCAGCTGGGTCTATGGGTAACAAATCCTGAGGAAGCAAAACCTGTGATATGAGGTCTCCTTCAATCTCCCAAATAATTTCAAATTCTAACTTTTTTTACATTTGGAACAAAAAGGATCAGATTTGAAGCCCTTACCCTCAGAGACACAGAGATAAGGTTTTACATCTTATTGCTGCAATTTTTCCATCAGTAGATGGACTTCCTGCTCCTCAGGGAGGCTCTGGATTTTTCTTCCTTCTTCTTGACCTCTAAAGAAGCACTGCAAGGACTTTTGCTCATTTTTCCTGATTACCCAGGGAGAGAGAAGTAATTTATTGGAGTCCACCCCTTCCTGACCTCCTTCACTATGGAAAAAAGTCTCAGGATAACTTTTCTTCCTCCTGTTGTTTTCTGGGTTTTTTACCCCGCTACTTCTTCCTAAAAGGCCCTAGAGAATAAAGATGAAAGTCTTTGGGAATGTTTCCAGGCAGGAAAGCCTGAGAATCACAACTTTCTGTGCTTGGAAGATGGCAGGAAGGCAGGTGGTTTCTGAACAAATTGCTTGATTCCAGCACTATCCAGCAAACAGCTAAATAAGTTAACATCTGATTTCACCTACTTGACAAAAATGTAATGAAAGAGCACTACAATGGTTATTAGGCAATACATTGGCATCAGTGGTGATTGCACTTTATTGGAAAATATCCAGGAACACCTTTTGAGAGAAAACCTGTATTGTGCACTTAACAGGGAAGGTTATGAATGTAAAAGGAAAACACTTCTCTCTCTAAAACAGAGAAGTGTTTTACTCTGTTTGTATTTGTTGTGGTAAAATTAACTCACGGACTGCAAATCCACAATTTAGGGTAAACCTTCAGCAGCCTTTTTTCAGCTCCTGCATACACAAGATGGGGCCATGACAATATACTCAGAAGCCCTGCTCAAACTGACAAATAGTTTGTCTTCAAAGACATTTTTAGATTGCTAAATATTCATCTAACACATGGAAAATAGTTACAAATAATTTTTACCTCTCGATTCTCTCTTGGTGTTTTTCAAGAATGTGTGTGCAGCTGTTGATGGAGGTAGAAGCCACCATGACAGAGTTTTTATATTGTCCAGGGAGAACTGGTTTAAAAATAATAAATATTTCAATTTTATGTTGTGTTCCTGTGATGGATTCAAAGTTTATCTGGCCACTTGAACTCCTAGGCCATCTAACCCAGGATTTCATGGGGAGCCTGCACCTTTCTTGTCTCAGATTGAATCAGGACAGTCAACCCAGTCTCCTGATGGTCCCCACTCACAGCATTATTATTCTCACAGTGGATGGAACTGCCTGGGAACACCCAAATTTGATGCCTTAATGCTACCACAGTGCCCAACCAGTACCCACAAATTATCAATGAGCACCCAGGCACTGGGAAATGCCCAAAAGGATCCCAGAACCACCAAATCCCAGAGTCACCAAGGCTGGCAGAGACCTTCAGATCATCCAGAGTCATCATCAGCCCACCACCACCATCACCACCCCTAAACCATGTCCCCAGGTGCCACATCCAGATGCCTCTTGGAGTCAATATCCTGCCCTGAAATGTGTCCAGGGTGCTCAGCACAACCCTTCCTGGTGTCAGAGCAGACACCACGTGCCCCATGCATGGAAGCACAGCTTATGTTCACTCTCCTGATTCAATCTGAGACAGGAAAGGTGCAGGCTCCCCATGAAATCCTGGCTTAGATGGCCTAGAAGATCAAGTAGCCAGGGAAACTTTGAATCCATCAGAGGAACACAACATAAAATTGAAATATTTATTATTTTTAAACCAGTTCTCCCTGGACAATATAAAAACTCTGTCATGGTGGCTTCTACCTCCATCAACAGCTGCACACACATTCTTGAAAAACACCAAGAGAGAATCGAGAGGTGAAAATTATTTAATTATTTTCCATTTTGATGAATATTTAGCAATCTAAAAATGGCTTTGAAGACAAATTATTTGTCAGTTTGAACAGGGCTTCTGAGTATATTGTGATGGCCCCATCTTGTGTGTTCAGGAGCTGATAAAAGCCCATAATCCTGTTCACAAGAACTCCAAACTCTGAAAGTGTTGCTTGGGGTTATAGATCCACACTGATGCCTCCACAGGTTGTTTTTTTGTGGGTTTTTTTGTTTTGGTTTGGTTTTTTTTTCAGAATTTTCAGCTTTGCTTTAATAGTATTTTGTTTGACAAGTAATTAATGTCAACCATCATAACTACCAGGCACAAATGCATCAGTGTCATTGCTGTTATTTTGTACTCGTATTATGTGATCATTGTTTTAATTGTTGATTGAGTGCTTCCTAAATTTCATTGTGTGCCAAAAGAAGTTGACACACTCACACTCTGCTGTGATTTATTGTGCAATGTCATCCCCAAGACAGATTTCTGCTTTGTGCATGTTGAAGCAGCTCTTCAGAAATAAATGAGTGATCACTGCGTTGAGGAGTGAACTCAGTACCTCATCACTGCCACTTTCTCAAGAGAATATTGGCAAAAACCATTCTGGAAGTGCTAAATGGATTTTATGAAAATATGGCATAAATTAAGATTCATATTTCTCTTGTGCTGGAAGCTAAGAGAGAGCAGCTCCAGCCTTCAGAAGGAGGCCACTGAGAATGGAACCAGTGGAGGAACAAACACTGAGCTCTTCTTTTTACATTTTATTCACAAGGAAAAGGGGCACAGCTCTGGGGGCACTGGGTGTTGGGTGTTTGCTTTCCCTCCCAGCTCCTACTGCTGAGATGCCAAAGGTTTCAAGATCAGTGTAAAGTTCCTGACTGAAGCAACTTTTAGTATATAGGAAAACATAGTCAAGAAATAATTGAGAGAAAATGCACATTTATTTACTCTCTCTACACTAGATTTTGATTGCAAAGGAACGCCAAACCTCACCTTCAGAGTGCCCCCATCTTAGACCCACATCTCCTTTAAGTCTGAAGGAAAATATACCCAAGAATGCTGAAGGGACATTCCACTTCCTCAATTACAGCTCTAATTGACTTCTAATTGTTTACCTCCCCAAAATCTATGTTTGGCTATAGCACAATATACACTCTGTGAAAAAGGAAAAAAAAAAAAGGTCAAGATATTCAAGATATCATCATTACCTTTGGTACAGAACTGATGTGCAAATTGTCATCGGGGCCTGCAAACCTGGAAATCATTGGGGGAAGAGAGGCAATTCCTGCAACAAGAATATAAAAGATTAGTTACTCAGTGTCCACCATGGCAGGAACCACAATAGCTAATATTAATAGCATTAATTATTAATTAACAATATTAATTATTAATATTGTGAGCAAAACTAAGGCCAATTTTTTTGGCTAACATGGCCAGATTTTTTTTACTGAGGGAGTTTGCAGGGGTGGCTTCTGTGAGGTGACACCAGGACCTGCCCCAGTGTCAGAGGCAGTTCCAGGTGGGACCTGCCTGAGCTGTGACATTGGTGGCATTTCTGCCATTACATATTTAAGGAAAGGTAAAAAAAACCCAGCACAGCAGGACCTGGGAAAGGGGAGTGAGAAAGTGTGAGGGAAACAGTCCTGGAGATACCCAGGTCAGTGGAGAAGGGAGGTGATCAGCCAAGGTCAACCCAGAACACAAACAAATATGAAAAAAGCCAATCTAGAACTCTGTGGAATTGATTTGTCCAGATTCACTTAATTTTACTGTTTATAACTGCTGTGTTTTATAATACTACATACTCTCAAAATCTTTCCCCTGTAGTTATTTCTTCACCGCTTATTTGTCAGAGAGGAAGGGATATGTTCCTGGATTATAGACTCTGCACAATAGTTTTATGCCATTAAGTGTTTGATTAAATGTTTTGAGAATAATGTGGTTATAAATGCAAGTGGAGGGTAACGATTTGGTGGAGATTTACATTTGCTTTTGAAGAGTCTTTGTGCTTAAGGACAAGAATTTATAATGCTTACTTAGTCATTTATCAGTACAATAATAGTTCACTAACTGCCTTTATTCTTTCCTTCTTGTCTTTGGGTTTTTTTGGTTTCTTTTTTTTGTGTGCATGTTGGCAGTGGTGGGTTTTCTTTTGTTTTCACAGGCCAATTGCAAAATATTGCCTAAATTGCTGCTTGTATGAAACTCCAGTCCTCCCACATCTGGACCCAGAAGACAATTGGAAGAACAAAGGCATTTAAAAAAACATACCCAGGACTAAAGTTAAATAAATTTTCAAAGAACTTGGGTGTTTCCACAATATAGTTGGAGGATCTTCCTGTAAAAAATTAAAAATCTTCCAGATAGGTCAGGAAAAACACAAGTCCTTCACTAAATATTGTGAAACCTCATAATTTTAATTGCTTGACCTATTGTCCAAAAGTCCCATGTTGAAAAGCAATTTGACAAGTTGTGATTCACCAGCTTACACTCACCTGGGCTTTGCTCTGTGTTCCACAATTCCTCTGGAATGTATCCCAGATTTTCACTGCCACTCCTCTGCCAGTTTTCCAAATCACCTTCTTTTTTCTTCTCAGCCGAAACTTTTCTAGGAAACAAAAAGGTGTCATTAGAAGTTCTTCATGGTGGAAGAACTCCTGGGCAGCAGACTAGAGACAAAAAAGTAAATGTCTCACATCCCAAAAAATAGGTGTAAAACATATTCCAAGCAATTAGCATGGAAGTATTGCCCATGGAATTTTGTTTGGAAAGTTTCCATCAGCTAAAATGTCAAAAACCATGAAAACAAGGCAATCTTCAAAAAGTGTGGACCCTGTGCCAGACCATAGGTTTTGCAGAATATTAATTTTGATCTCTGATTCTGAATTGAAGGATATTTAGGTGCCCAGTAATGGAATACCAGCCAGGTCATCATTTTTGTGCCCAGCTGCAAACCCAAAGCGTGTCCTCTCACATGAACTCCAGATGAACTCTGGAGTTCATCTTTCACTCTGGAAGTTACTTTACACGTGAGGGAAATTCCTTGGTTAAAGTTACACATCTCCAAATTTGCAGAATGGTGTCCTCACAGCTGCACAGGGAGAGAAGGGTGCTTTTCCACCCAAAATTCTGATGCTAGAAGAGATGCTGCTATTGATCTGTTGCTACCATAGAATCATCTCCAGGACACTCCCAGGTCCATCTCTGCCTAGGTTTGAGGTGTGGCAAACACAAATCCACTATGGAAAACCAGGAATTTTTAGTGGGAAGGGATGTTAGTGAAGTTTGTGGAAAATGTCTTTGTACAAAAGTTGTAGTGAGGGTTGGGACAGGAGGAGAGGGGACGGCCTCAGGGCCACCAGAGGCTCAGCTGGGACAGCAGCAGGAATTTCCCCATGGAAAGGGTGCTCAGGCCCTGGCAGGGGCTGCCCAGGGAGCTTTGCAGTGCCCATCCCTGCAGGTGTCCCCTGGAGGTGGCACTGAGTGCTCTGGGCTGGGGACAAGGTGGGCATGGGGCCCAGCTGGGACTTGATGGCCTTGCAGGTCTTTTCCAACCTCAGTGATTCCATGATTCTGTAATTCTACTTCTTTTATATTTAGTAGGAACCACTTTGCAGGTCCCCAGAGCTTCAGAGGGGTGCTACTAATGCACACACAGATCTGGTGAGTCAGCTCTCAGCTATGGGGCTTTTTTAGGAGGTGAACAGGTTGGACACCACTAAGAGCCCTGCCATGGTTGCTAGAAGACAAAAGCATTGTTTAGGGCTGTAACACCCCCACATGTTACATGACATGTGCTGTCTCTTTTATCTGAGCCTTAGATCTCAGCAAACTCAGTGGAGTAGCCAAATAAAAAGCAGCTACAAAAAAAAAAATAAAAATAAAATAAAAGGTGTGTGGGAGGTACAGGAAGATAGCCAGCCAAGCTAAAAATAAAGGTGAGAAATAAAACCAGTGTATGTTTTGTTTCACTACTTCTTTGCTACCACAGCAATGCAGCTTCCAAAATCTGGATAAGTATCATTCTTTTTACTGCAGGGAAGTTCCCCCCAAGGAAAAAATCACTGAGCCTACAAAATCTGTGATTGTTAATAATCCTGTGATTTCAGGGTCATTGTTTTTCAAACCTTGAAATCAACACTGAATCTTCAAGTCCAAACTGAGCCTCAGAGCTTGAAGTCATCCCAGTCTTTTTAACTTTAAAGGATAAGCAAAGTTTGTGAACACAGTGAGACAACTCATCTTTAATGGTGAAACAGTAACTTTGCAGTACTGAGAGCTAAAAACAGACTTCTGCCATGGAAGTGGAATAGTTTCTGCCTAGATCAGATGCAAAAACATAGAGGGACAGGAAGGTTATGCCTATTCTGGACCTGTTCAGCTTGTCTGAAAGAAGCACTGCAGGTCCCCAAGAGCAAGGCAGGGTCTGGGAGGGGCACGGACCTGACTGTTCCAGACCCTGCTGCTGGGCAGGTCCTTCCCTGCAGGTTCAACTGGTTTTGCCTTCCTTGGGTCGATCCCTGTGGAAGTTTTTGGGATTCTGAACCAAGTCAGAATCCAAGCAATCCCTGCTGGTTTAGCCCTGCCCTGTTTATTCAGCTGCACTTGGCAAAATGATGAATTTAGTCCCACAAAGTAAGAAATCACACGGAAGTTTACACGTATGGCATAGCATAATAAGAATCATTTCCTTGGGAGAAAACAGAGCGTATTTAATTTCCTTATTTTGTTTCCTATCAATAAAGTGCTCTACAAATGGAAATCTGTCAACAGACCTGCACAAACTTTCCGCACAAGAGGCTGCTAATGAAACTGGGAATTACTGACGTGCCAGCAGCAGGGTGGAATGTTCTGCAAACTCATTAAGGGACAGGGACTCAAAACCCCACAAGCGTAGGCAGAGAATGAATTCACAAAGCTACCTACATATAAATAATAATATTAAAACTACCACTGCCATGGTTGCCACAGGTGCTGATAAAAAGGATCTCAGTGCTGAGAGATCCTTATAGTTATTGATTTCCAAAGTTTTCCATCTCAGTGCAAAAATGGAACATTAGCTTTGTACTGAAAGACGTCTGAAAATCACTGAATGAGGTGCTGATACCCATCCATGGGGCAGCTTTATTAATTTTTTGTAGATTTTTTAATTTGCATATTATAATATATTGTATATTATAATATAATATATTATTATATTATTGTATATTATAATATTTTATCTTTCTATATTATCGAATTGTATTATAAAATTGTGTTATTATATATTATACAATTGTATGTTATATTGTATATTATTATATATTATTATATAATTGTATATTTTAGTAATATTTTATTATTATATATTATATAATTGTATTATAAAATTGTGTTATAATATTATAATATTGTATAAATTTTAACTAAAAATAAACTATACTAACTATAATTTTTATACTAATAAATATTTTTAGACTAATAAATATTATTGCCATTTTTAATAAAAACTATATATAATTTTATTTTAAATATTTTTTAAAAATTACTTAATATATAATTTTTTATCTTTTGTAATAAAAAACTTTTTTTTTTTTTTTTTTTTTTTTTTTTTTTTTTTTTTTTTTTTTTTTTTTTTTTTTTTTTTTTTTTTTTTTTTTTTATTTTACTAATAAAAAATTATAAACCCAGCTTGGGCTGGAAGAAAGATCATCCGCGGGCATGGACACGTTCCACTATCCCAGGCTGCTCCAAGGAGCGCTCCTAGGTATGGAGAGTCACATCATCCCGGGACGGCCTGTCCCAGGCTAGAATTTCTGCTTGATACCTAATCCAAACCCGCCCTCCGAAGGTTTTGTTACGCGTTTATCCTTTCGGAGCCCGCCCGCCGCTGCCGGTCCGGCAGTGACATCCTGCGGCGGCCGCGGCAATCGCCCGCCGGGCTCTGCTCGCCATCCATCCTCCCCTCCTTCCCCGGGACACCTGGGGCACAGCGGGCTCCGAGGGACTGGCTTTGTCCTTTCACAGAGCCCGCCGAGTTTGTCCCCCTTGTCCCTTCTGCGCTGCGCCAGCCGGCGAGGCGGCGTTTTGGGGTTTCCATGGGGTTTCCACCGCTCTGGGATCGGAGTTCGCAGCCTGCTGCGAGCCCTGGCGCTCTCCTCTCATCCCTAAAATCAGCCCCTTCCCTGGATGCTGTCCCGCATCCCTCTGCTGTCCCCACACAGCCCGGCAGCACCGCGAGTTCAGGGATGATGGATGCCCGGACAAGGATGCTGGCACGTCCCCCCACGTGTTGGATTTTGGGATGTGCGTGGTGGGACTCTGTGGGAGTCCAGGGCTTCCCTCTGGCTGCCCTGGAAGGTCTGGGACCCTGGCAGGGGTCAGGAACCCCCTGGACAGAGCCCCCAGAGACACTGGCTGTGATCTCTGGCCATGGAAAAGAGTTTGCAATCTTACAGGATGAATTACCAGCTCTGAGTGTTTGATATCAGTAATAATTAAGTGTGGCAC